GACTTACACCCCCCACCAGTCCTCGGCCCGCTTGTTCTTGCCCTTGGTTGGCCCGTCGGCCTTGCCTGAGTGTGACCTTTGGGCTTGCGACATCAGCTCACATCCATAGCGCTATTCTGGATTCTGCTTCTCTTTCTTGCCCTTCTTATCCTTGGGGTTCTTATCAGCCTTCTTCTCTTTCTTCTCTTTCTTGTCCTTTTTCTGACTCTTATCCTTCTTTTCTTTGTGTGTCTCGGTCTTGTCCTTCTTGTCGTGCTTCTCATGCTGTGTGGTCATTGGGGTCTGGGTTGTGCCCGTGCTCTCTGCTGGTGTTGGCGCTGGCGGCGGTGGGAAGTTTAAAGGCTGCTGCGCTGCCCGTGACTGTGCCTTGGCTTTGGCGCTCTTCGGCTTCGGTGTGGGTTTGGGCTTGGGCTCTGGCTTCGCCAGGGTCAACTCAACTGCAGTGGCGTTGGGCTCGCTGCAGGTTCCAAGAGATTGGCGGGCTTGACTGCTGCAGCGGCGGGGGTAATTGTCAGAGCGATTGGCTGGAGGGCAGGCATCTCCTTCAACTGCGTTTGTTCGTTTGGCGCAACTGATAGCTGCTTAGCATCAGTAGTTGATGGCTGCGGCGGTGCCTCCTCAGCAGCAGCGGCTGTCGATTGCAATGGCTGCTGCTGCTGCTGCTGCTGCTGCTGCTGCTGCTGCTGCTGCTGCTGCTGCTGCTGCTGCTGCTGCTGCTGCTGCTGCTGCGCACGCGTATCCTCCGCTGGAAGTGTCTCTTGGTTCCGTGTCTCAACAAGGCCAAGGGCTGATTGCTGTTGCGTCGCATCAGCAATTGGCGATGTCTCCTAGTCACTCGGCACTGGCTGAGTTACCTTCACAGGAAGGGCGCCCATGACCCTGCGCTGTGTCTCTCCTGTGCTGGAAGTGTTGCCTGGTCCTGTGTTGGAACTCGCTCGTGGTCTGGTGGCTGTTGCTTTGGGCTGGGGGTCTGGTTGGGCTGTTGCCCTTGTGGGCCTTGCTGATCCTGCTGCTGTTCCTGCCCAAGTTGGCTCTCTTGCTGGTCAAGCTCGCGCTTGCTGCGATGTTTCTCCACAGCATCCCTGAAGCAAATTTCTGCAGGCAAAGCAAGCCGTGTGGAGCTTCGTGAGGCAGTCGATCAGGTCCTGGATGACTGGAGTCCTGCGCAGCACACAACCACTAGGCCATAAAGGAGTAAAGGTTCCCAGCCCTGAAGTTCGGAAAGTAAAACTCCTTAGACAACTATTACGTGCTCTAGTCCAAAAGTCACTCATACACACGGCATCCTGAAATTATCAAAACCAAATGCCAAATTTCAAAACCAGGCGCCCAGGGTAAGCTTCCTTCAGCAACTCAGGCCGAGCAAGACGGCACTCTAAGGGCTACATGGTGCACGGCCACCGCCTTCTCAATAGTGATGGCGCCAGGAGGCACATATAATAGACTACGTCTCCCGCGACAGCGTAGTGTGTGCGAAGGCTATCTACGGGCTGGTCTGTGTACCCTTGAGCAGTGATTGACCTCACATAGTCCACAGTGTCCTGCGTAAGCACGTGCGAGTGCGAGGGGAGACAACGTTCGGCCAAACTGAAACTTTTAAACCTAAACGGTGCAATGCAGCAGCACCGCGCCAACAACAAGTGGTGTGTCAATGAGAAGTGCGCCCTTCAGCGACGGCCACGTGCCGCTAAATTCGTCAGCATCATGCTCGCGATCATTTTCACCTACCGCGCGCTGCTTCGCGATTAGGGCGTGGTCTGCCGCCTCGTTGGCATCACAAACTGCAAACAACTTGTTGCCACTGAATTACTGAATTGGTAGATAAAGGCGCCAATGCCACCCGGGATGTTGCCCGAGTATAGGCCGCCCCGAGCAAAGCCAACCCACGACATGCCAGAGACCTTGTTGCGCTCCTTGATTTGCTCGCGTTCAGGGCCACTGCGCTTATGCGCCGCCCTTAGCCTCGCCAAAGGTCATCAATGCAAACAATCCCACCCACACACAAGCCAGCAAGCAAGCGAGCCAAGAAAGAAACAAACTAGTAAGCAAACAATCAAACGAACCAACAAACAAACGAACCAACAAACAAACAAATAAATACAAACACGTCAACACACCAACACCCCAACAAAACAACAAACACAGAAACCAACAAACAAACAACAATCACAGGCGTTCCGCGTGTGACAACGACAATTGTGGCAACACCATGCATGAGTACAAAGGGGTCTGGGCGCTGTCACGCTGCAAGTTTGCAAGGTGCGCACGGTCAACAACAAAGCTGTCAACAACAAAGCTGTCCACTAACCGGCAGCAAACAAAAAGGATAGCTGAGCAAAAGAAGCCAAGCGCGCTGAAATCCACAGAAGTACTTCCTGCGATCGCGCATGTCAGTTGGCGCTTCCCCGCCGCCTGCGCTCCATTTGCTGCACTTCCGTCTTGAGCTGCAGAGGCGAAGCCGACTGGTGTTAGGCGCTCCTCACGCAAAAGCAACTCTGTCTCTCTCAGGGCGCCGCGCCGCAAAGGCAAAAGTGACGTAACGGCGCCGCAGCGCGCCGCATTGTGCCAAACACTTGTAGGCTTCACGATGACCGATCAAGTAGTCCAGAAATCTGGAAAGCAGGAGCTCTCCGTAGGTTTGCCTCACATTCTTTATTTGCGCCGCGTCGGGTTCCAAGCCCTCACGCTCCTCATCTATCTGACTTGGGCAGGGCAACGCTGCAAGCACGTGCGGTCATGCGTGCGCGCATCAAGTTGGAAGCAAGCAGCTCAGCCGGCTTCTAAGCTCAAACTGCGTGCTCTGAAGGATTGAGCCCAAGTGGTCTTGCGCAACGGCCCATCCTGCAACTTTGTCAGCCTATCCTGCAACGGCCCATGGATGTGGTCGGGTCGGTACTCCTCGCATGGGATGAGCGCGCAAACCAAACGCACAAGCGCTAAACTAACACATGCTGAACGCTGACTATCACCAAACGCCGCACGCGGAATGCGCGTGTCCTGCGTGATTGAGTCCAACATTCTTTGGCAACCGCGGTCCGAATCGCAGGCAGTGATAGTGCGAACTGAGCCACGACCAAGCTTCGCATCTGCACAGGGGTGGAGAGTTCCTGGCTGTCAGGCTGGTCCAACAAGGCGATTGCAATGGTTTATCATGGTTTATATCAGTGTTAGCTCGCCGCGCTAGTTTTAAGTTTCAAGGTGCGGGGCGGGCTGGGGATGGGTTGGGCGGGCGGGTGGGTTTGGGCGGGTTGGGCAAAGGCTGGCGCAAAGTGGGGAGGTACGGCCCGAAGGCCTCCACCCCCACACAGCCTTGGGTTGGGGGTCTTGGGCCAAATAGGCTTGAACCGTCCCTGAGTATACCCCCCTCCGGCGCAAGAAGAATAAACCTGTAAAAAGGGAAATGGCCGCAATATAAGGTAGTGATAATGCGAATTTCCACAATCTGCAAAAGCGATGGCTCCTTTTTACACTGTGCTACAGGTAATGACCTCCTAAAGGTTTTTAGAAATATTGCGCATATGTTCAAACCGGCCTTTCACTTCAATTTACCCCACAACGGAAACGGAGGCTGCCTATGGGGACGAGAAACGAAAC